TATCCGGCCTTCTTGGAGTCAGTGGGAGGGGTCCTGGAAAGGGCGCCGCCTACCGACTCCATAGTTCTCCTGGGGGACTTCAACGCTCACGTGGGCAATGATGGAGAAACCTGGCGGGGGGTGATTGGGAGGAACGGCTTGCCCGATCTGAACCCGAATGGTGTTTTGTTATTGGACTTCTGTGCGTGCCATGGTTTGGCCATAACGAACACCATGTTCGAACATAAGGTGGCTCATAAGTGTACCTCGTACCAGAACACCTTAGGCCGGAGATCAATGATCGACTTTGTAATCGTATCATTTGATTTACGGCCGTATGTCTTGGACACTCGGGTGAAGAGAGGAGCAGAGCTGTCAACTGATCACCACCTGGTGGTGAGTTGGATCAGATGGCAGGGGAACCGGTTGGAAAGACCCGGCAAGCCCAAACGTGTAGTGAGGGTGAACTGGGAACGTCTGGCGGAGGACCCTGTCCGGGAGGTCTTTAACTCCCACCTCCGGAAGAACTTCTCACACATCCCGAGGGAGGTTGGGGACATGGAATCCGAATGGACCATGTTCAAAGCCTCTATTGTGGACGCGGCCGCTAGGAGCTGTGGCCGGAAGGTCATCGGTGCCTGTCGTGGCGGCAACCCGAGAACCCGGTGGTGGACACCGGAGGTGAGGGAATCTGTCAAGCTGAAGAAGGAGACCTTCAAGGCCTGGTTGGCCCAGGGGTCTCCCAAAGCAGCTGACAGGTACCAGCAGGCCAGAAGGGCTGCAGCTGCGGTGGTCGCGAATGCTAAAACTCGGGCATGGGAGGAGTTCGGGGAGGCCATGAAGAAGGACTTTCGGTTGGCCTCAAGGAGGTTCTGGCAAACCATCCAACGACTCAGGAAGGGAAAGCAGGGCTTACCCCAGGCTGTTCTCAGCAGGGGGGGGGGGACTGCTGACCCGGACAGGGGACATCGTCGGGCGGTGGAAAGAACACTTTGAGGAACTCCTAAACCCAACCAACATGTCCTCTGCAGAGGAGGCAGCGCCTGAAGATCTAGGGGGAGGCTCACCCATATCCCTGGCAGAGGCCACTGAGGTAGTCAAAAAGCTCCTCGGTGGCAAGGCGTCGGGGGTGGATGAGATCCGCCCTGAGATGCTGAAAGCGCTGGACATAGTTGGGCTGTCCTGGCTGACACGCCTCTTCAATGTCGCATGGGGGTCGGGATCAGTGCCCATGGACTGGCAGACCGGGGTGGTGGTTCCCATTTTCAAAAAGGGGGACCGGAGAGTGTGCTCGAATTACCGGGGTATCACACGACTCAGCCTCCCGGGGAAGGCTTATGTCAGGGTGCTGGAAAGGAGGCTCCGACCGTTTGTCGAACCTCAGATTCAAGAGGAGCAATGCGGATTCCGTCCCGGCCGTGGAACAGTGGACCAGCTCTTTACCCTCGCAAGACTACTGGAGGGGTTCTGGGAGTTTGCCCAACCAGTCTACATGTGCTTTGTGGACTTGGAGAAGGCTTTCAACCGGGTCCCTCGGGGTTCTTGTGGGGGGTGCTGCGGGAGTATGGGGTGCCGGACCTATTACAACGGGCGATCCGGTCTCTGTACGATTGCAGTAGGAGCTGTGTCCGCATTCTCGGCAATAAGTCAGACACGTTCCCGGTGGATGTTGGCCTCCGCCAGGGCTGCCCTTTGTCTCCGGTCCTGTTCGTGACTTTCATGGACAGGATATCTAGGCGCAGCCGGGGGGTGGAGAACGTCAGGTTCGGGGGTCTCGGGATCGCCTCTCTGCTGTTTGCAGATGATGTGGTCCTGTTAGCCTCCTCGGATCGTGACCTCCAGCATTCACTGGGGCGGTTTGCAGCCGAGTGTGAAGCAGCGGGGATGAGAGTTAGCACCTCCAAATCTGAGGCCATGGTGCTCTGCCGGAAACCGGTGGATTGCTCCCTCCAGGTGGGGACGGAGTGCCTACCTCAAGTAGGCGAAGGAGTTCAAGTATCTCGGGGTCTTGTTCACGAGTGAGGGTAAGATGGAGCGGGAGATCGACAGACGGATCGGTGCGGCTGCAGCAGTAAAGCAGGCGCTGCACCGGACCGTCTTGGTGAAGAGGGAGCTGAGCCGGAAGGCAAAGCTCTCAATTTACCACTCGGTCTACGTTCCTACCCTCACCTATGGTCACGAACTCTGGGTCGTGACCGAAAGGACAAGGTCGCGGCTACAAGCGGCCGAAATGAGCTTCCTCCGTAGGGTAGCCGGGCTCAGCCTTAGAGATAGGGTAAGGAGTTCGGTCATCAGGAGGGAGCTTGAAGTCGAGCCGCTACTCCTTCGCGTCGAAAGGAGTCAGCTGAGGTGGTTCGGGCATCTAATTAGGATGCCTCCTGGACGCCTCCCACTGGAGGTTTTCCAGGCACGTCCAACTGGGAAGAGACCCCGGGGAAGACCCAGAACACGCTGGAGGGATTACATCTCCCAGCTGGCCTGAGAACGCCTCGGGATCCCCCAGAATGAGCTGGAACATGTTGCCGGTGAGAGGGAAGTCTGGGTCAGCCTGCTTGGCTTGTTGCCACCGCGACCCGACCCCGGATAAGCGGAGGAAAATGGATGGATGGATGTTCGTGTTTGTGCCAATTACTCATGGAGGTTCAGACAAGGATCACTAGATTACTTTGATACTGAAGAAAACCTTAAAAGGCAACTTCGGAAATAAAAGAAGCATCTTTTTTTCATGATATTATGAGGGGATTTCTGGACTAATTCATTTTAGAAACAAAGATATGTTGTGGAGTTATGTGGAGAGACAAAGAGGGAGGGTTGTGGTCGATAGAGCTTACCAGATTGTCCACCATGGAGACAGCTACTTTCAGTCTCCTTTCCATCTCTGCTACTCTAGTTTACGTTCATTCATCACATCCGCTCAAACAACAGGGTCACAGTAAACAGTAAATACAAAGATCAACACTATATCAGTCCTCGGCCCTATTTGCATAATGGTCATGGTTCTTAAGATGCGGAGGAAATGCAAACAGCAATGTACAAAAGGGACTTTTAGTTCAGGAGATAAGAGACTGGTTCCAAAGTACATGGAACAGTTTGGTCATGAATGGCTAATTGGGTCCTAGTGCCACCCTGGCTCCTAGTGCTGCCTCGGGACCCCGTCCAAGTTGGGTAGTTAGAGTCCCAAGTGCCATTGCTACCCTGGCTCCTGGTATCATCATTCTCAACGAGGTGACACTTATAAACCAGGATAGGAATAGAAGTTCTATAAATGCTGTAGTGGAATCGTGTTGGTTAATGGTGGGGTCGGTCTACATTTTTGGGGAGAGGGGCACCAAAGGGGTGGAACTTCTGGTAATGGTGGGGGTCCAGTAGAGAGAAGAGAGAGCGAGAGGTGGTGGGGGGGGGGGGGGGGGGGGGGGGG